CTGAAGGCCTGTATAGAACAAAAGGGCTAAAAAGGGCAGACCTCCCCCCAAATAAGAGGGAAGTCCTCCCACCTGACTGCCCTGAGGTGGCACGTTGGTCTTTTCCTGCTTTGGGACTTAAACTGAAACATCCACTCCCCTTGGGTCTCAAGGCCGTAAGCCTCCAGACTGGAATAATACCACCTTGCCTTCCTGGGTCTCCAGCTTGCCAACTGCAGATCTCGGGACTTGACAGCCTCCAGAATCACATGAGCCAATTCCTTCTAAGAAATCTCTGTGTATATTCGTTCTGTTTCTCTGGAGAATCCTAATACACAGGCCTATCATATCAGATACGGGATATTTCAAATCCTGATGGTCGCCTCAGTTTCTTAAAATCTTAGCCAAGTTCTTAGGGCTTGCCTGGTTTTACTCCACAGGAGAGAAGACACAGGCAGCTTAGGAGCTGGCTGGCTATTGACCACTGGAGCAGTTAAGGGAGATGGTTCGCACAGTCAAGTTTCCTCAGCCTGGAACTCTCTAGGACAGAATGTCCCACACCGTGTCATGAAGGGGACACTGAGAGCAGCCTCATCTCTACCCCCGTGTGCATGCCACACAGATTTCACCTCACATCTGCCATGATGCAGAGACTGGGAAGCCTTTTTCCTAATAGTTCTCACCCATGTCTCCTAACCCAAATACTAAGCTGACTTGCAAATGCCAGGGTCACTTGGAGCAGGAATCTAGCAGTGTCACAACTCAGTCAGCCTAGATAAGTTGGTCCCCCAGCAAAGGCCAGAGGATGGAGGCTGGGAAATAAGCACATTTTTCATAAGAGGAATTAGCAGGACCCCCTTCCTATCATATATGCTAGTAAGAAATTATCAACAGTAAGAAATTATCAACACCTATGTTGATGGCAAACAAGATTCAGACAGCGGTCTCCCATCTGCTCCACTTCGGACTTAAATTTTTCCAAGTGTGCTTTGATCTGATGACTTGAGGACTAGAGGACAGAAGACACCAGACACAGAGGTATGGATGATGCTGTTATGTTACATTCCTGCCTCTGCTTATTATCAGGGTCAAGGGTTGAAAAATATTGAAATACAGGTACAGGGACAGTTCGTACCTGTATTTCCAACACTTTGGGAGGCCAAGGTGGGAGGATCATTTGAGCCCAGGAGTTAGAGACTAGGCTGGGCAACATAGAGAAACTCTCTACAAAATGTACAGAAAAATTAGCCAGGCACAGTGGCACACACCTGCAGTCCCAGCTACTCAGGAGGCTGAGGTGGGAGGATCACTTGAGCCTGGGAGGTCAAGGCTGCAGTGAGCCATGATCGTGCCATTGCCTTCTAGTCTGGGGAACAGTGAAATCTTGTCTCCAAAAGATAAAGCCAATCTTGGCAGTACTATAGTTGTATGAAGCACATTTACGTGAGACAAAGACACAGACAATACTTTTTTTTTTTTTTTTTAGAAATAAATAAGTTTATTCTAAATCCAAATAATTGAAATTACAGGGAAGGATATTCAGAGAAGAAATTACGAGACAGAGGAAAGCATAAAAGAAGGTAATAAAAACTTCAAGTCAAGAAAAGGTTCTCAAAAATCTGACTTTGCCTACCCAGGGTATAGTTTGTGGCTATCAAATTAGGACTCAGTAACTACTTGTCACTGGCTGGAAGCTGCTCATGGCTGCCAAGAACCTACAGAGAAGGCCAAGGGGCGGGCCTGCAGCTGTATGGAGCAGCAATAAGCACCCCAGATGTGACTTCCTAGATGAGCCAGGCATCCTAATCCAGGCATATACTGGATCCTCTTTCTGGTTTCCAGGTACTCAAGAACTAGGCTATCTGGCAGAAAACTGTAGCAACAAAAAGCAGTCCTTGGCTTGATTCTGGCAAAGTCTGAATGGGCCAAAAGCCAAAAGGAAAAGGTGAATTATCTGAATGACGGTCTTCAGATCCTAACTAACCCTTTGGGAAAACTTCTCATTTCTTATTCATAATAGAATAAGATGTCCAGCAGTTACATGTGTGAGAAGATTATCTGAGGAGCTCTGTCAGCCCCTAAACCAAATGTAGGGCTTGAGGCCTACCCCTTGGTTAGAAACTACCCCTTGGTTAGAAAGAACCACACTGCCCAGCTGGCTAGAGACCACCCAGATGGCTCAATCCCTCGTTGTTGTAAGCAGCAAAGCATGGGCAGAAGTGGATGATGAAGATGTAAAAAAACGTTAAGACAGGGTCTGTCCCTGGCAAACTAAGAACCTGAATTTCAGACCTCTCTGAAATAGAGATGACCACTACCCCTAGTGCAGGGACCAATCAGCGACCTATTAACATGCCTGGAAATGAGACAGATTGCCGCTTAACTGTGTCGGGAAAGCAGATGGATTGCTTCACCACCAGGGGGCAATCTCTCACCAGGAGCCCATTCAAGCATGGCCACCGCCCCATTTGTGATCTCGTCTGTGCCCAAGTAATCAAATGAATGCAACCATTCACAGTAATTACAGTTAGGGTCATTTAACTATTTAATTGCTTTTGGGGATTATTGCTGCAATTAGGAAGGGAGGGTTGAGATGAGAAGGGGGAGGTTGGAGAAGATAAGAGATTTAAAATAAGCAAGTACCATTTTCCAAGTATAAAACTCGTAATATTAAAAGTGACACAGCAGTGTTCACATGACTACTTAAGTCTAATGCAGAAACAACACAGTACAGTTTTTGCAGAGGCCGATGTGACATCTGCATGCGACATGATACTACTAAGACTCTCTACCCACCTCTGCCACAGACTAGTTGCTATATGCACACATACACAAAAATACAAAATGAAAAGCCTACACAAGTGTGAAGTCAAACTAAGGCTCTTAATTGTAAATTAAAGTGGCTACAGTAGGTCCCTTTGAAAAACACCATCTCCCCTGGCACCAATGTTGTCACAGCACAGAGGAAGCGAGCGGCTCAGGGGTCTGGTTCTGGGGAGACACTCATAGGGGATATGCTTCTCCATCTTGGCAGCTGGCAAGCCACAGTGGTGTCTGTCTGCTGGGTGGTTCTGGCTTCCTGGACCTCCTCCAACATAATGCACTGACCACACAGCTTTGACTATAACTACTCTCAAAGAGGTACCTGCCAGGGCTCCCTCTGACACGCACACACGCGCACACACGCGCACACACACACACACACACACACACAAACATTGCCCACTCTTGGAACCTACAATGCAATGTGGAGCAAACGGGAAGAACACACACACATAAATGCCACACCAGCCCTAAATGGCGTGGCCACCTAGTCACAGTTGTTGGGTAAGTAGTACAGTGCTCAAGAACACTTTAGACTAATGTGCTAAGGAGCTTGAGGAAAAGTCTGGTACTCATGGCTCTCTCAGCCAGCATTCCCAGTGGGGAAACTAGAAGATACCAGCCTGGAGAGGCTGAATATTCAGGAGTCCCTGAGATGGGGAATGGAACAGAGGAAAGTGTCTCCCGACCTGTCCTAAGTACTCCCCTACCCAAATAGAAACCTCAAAGACTGATCCAAATTTCCCCTAAGGCCTGGGCCAGGAGTAGCTCACTGCTCACTGCTGAGGAGGAAGGCACATGGTATGATGTCATTAGAGCAGGACAGTGGCTCAGCCTAAGGGAGAGTTCTCTACAGGGGAAAGAGGGCAGGAAGTGGACGCAGGGTCTGGTCCTGTCCCTGCACCACCCTGAGCAGCCAGTCTTGGGATTATAGGCCCTGGGCCATAAGGCTGCTCGCCATTCTGCTTTCCTGTTTCTCTCCCTGTGCTGCCACGGCTGAGAAACGTCCAGCACCTGAGGCAAAACTGCCATAGTACCTTAGAAAGCTGAATCAAGGGGGAAGAGGCAGAAGAACACAGTAATAGAGAAAATTTTCCTTGCAACAGGTGCTCTTTCACACCCACCTAGGGTAAGTCAAGGCAACTTGTGAAGGTGCTTTGAGCTGTTCCTTCAAGCAAACATATTTTCATTACATGATGGCTTATCGCGAGGGTGCAGGGAAGGACCACCACCAACTCTGGTGACAAATTTGAATCCGGGTGCTCATCCTATTCAGATAGTCAGGAAATCTGACTATCTGAATGACAGCCTTCAGATCCTAACTAACATGAATGGTTTTGGAGAACCATTCAGAAAAGCATAGAGAAAGGCCTGGTTTCTGCTCACCACCAGCCCAGGATAGAGCTCAGGTGTGCTTTGACTACTAGCAATTCCAGGAGGCAGCACCATGGCCAAAAGCTCCTAGAATATTTGGAAACCATGTTTTCTTCCTAGTCCATGGTAACAAGAACAAGCCAATGGGAGCATCATTTTAAACAAGAATCTCCAAAAATGGTGGCAACCAAGTGTCAAGTGGGGACTGCAGACACAGAAGAGACCACCCCAAACCCTGCCTGGGTGGAGTAAGCAGGTAAGCTAGAATAGTCCTGTCCTGCATATTAGGGAACAGCAGCCTGGCCGATCTGTGTCCTGGAAAAACAAAATGAGTTGCAATAGAAGTGATTCTAAGATAGACAACGAACCTACTCTTAAGACAGAGAGGGTGGGGCATGATGGCTGACACCTGTAATCCCAGCACTTTGGGAGACCGAGGCAGGTGGATCACCTGAGATCAGGAGTTTGAGACCAGCCTGGCAAAACTCCGTCTCTACTAAAAATACGAAAAATTAGCTGGGTGTGGTGGCAGGCGCTTATAATCCCAGCTACTCGAGAGGCTGAGGCAGAAGAATCGCTTGAACCTGGCAGGGTGGAGGTTGCAGTGAACCGAGATCATGCCACTGCACTCCGGCCTGGGCAAAAGAGCAAAACTCCGTCTCAAAAAAAAAAAAAAAGGAGGGGGTGCTGAAAAAGCCGCCTGCTTAGAGTACACCTCACACCTGGCTGGGGAAACATCTGTTACGTAAACGCCTCCTGCCTAAGAAAGACACTCTAGCTATCTCATACACTGCACCCCAGCTTCTCTACAGAATCAGGACAGGTCAGAGCTGCCACACAATGGTTAAGTGAAGTTGAAAGCTAGAGAGTTTAGAAAAGCAAATGGTTAAAACAATTCCTAGGGTAACATTTATAACAAGGGCAAAATCATTATATAATAGAATCCTCTGGGGTCTTCAAATTAAAAACCACAAAAGGATGACAAGAGGAGGAACAAGAATCCTGAGGCTCAAGCTGTCTCAGTCTATCTTGAGTTGTGCTCTATGGAGCCAGACCAGATGTCAAGGTAGCGCATGGCCTGTTCCATACCCCAAGAACCTTCTGAAGGCTGGAAGCCTCTTGGGACTAGAAAGGGTCCAAGCTCAGTGGGGTTTTGGAGAACCATTCATCTGGCTGCCCTGGGTGACAGTGTCTGTGCTGTACAAGCTGTCCAAGAAGACCGAGGACAATTCTGCAACCATATTCCTGTCCACAGTTGTCTGGGCCATGCCGTAGACGGCACCCTACAAATCCAAACAAAGAGACATTATTAGTGAGGCTGGATCCAGGAGCAAGAATAAAACTGCAGTGATGAGCCCCTTCTCCCCGAATCCTAGCTTCACATGTGCGCTGCCCACCCTTTCCACCTCAGGCATCCCATCATTCTATCAGAAACAGTAAACTTTCACAGGGGCTTTCCAGTCAGCCTTTTTGCATAAAGGAACTAGCCTAAGGGATTTACTGTAGAAAAGTCCAGAGAAAACACGTTTACTACCTTTCCTGTGTCAAAATTTTCTTTTCAAATGGATGCTACCAGCAGGTGCTTTTGTACAGCAGTCTCTACCTTACAAGGGGCTTTATATTGTATCTCATTTGAGACCTCAGCAACCCTAAGGGTGAGTGACACAGAGATCATCAGCTCCAAACAAGTGAAAAATGTCTGTGGCAAAAGTGCAGGGGCAGGAACAGACTCCTGGTCATTTGATTTTTTCAAACTCTCCACCAACACCTAAATTTCCAAGGGAAGAAAAAAACCAAGTGTCCCTACCATTCCTGTGGTCTTCGCTTTAGGATTCTTCATGATTTGAGTGACGGATTCTCGGACATCCTTCAGGAATTGTACAGCTACTCGTTTCCGGGCATGTACTAGCGTGATGCAGAAATGAATACTAGGAAAGAAGAGACAGAGAGAGACCAACCTTGAAGAAATAAAAATGTTCTAAAGTAATGCGGCCCCAAATACGGGAATCTCCTGGTGGCCCTTTCACATTATTTCTGGCAAGTGTAGACATCCAAGTTGATCCCCGTCCTGGGAATCCCAGCTCTCCCATGCTTGGGCTGTCAGACGTGGGCTGGCCTCAGAGCTTCTCAGCATGACCGACAACCATGCTAAGAGGAAGAACAGGGTTGGCTGCTTTGTCCCACCCATCCCCTCACGAACTCCACCACCATTCCTTCAACTACGTCACCATCAATGGGACGCTGTCATCTTAGATAATCAGCTCCCATGTGCTCTCATGGCTGGGGTCTTAAAGGACTTCAGGGCACAGAAGAAATTCTATCTTGCCCTGAAGGAATTTAATGGGGTCAGTGGAATTGTGGAAAGGGAAAAAGATAGTCCAGATGGGACTGGCAATGCACCAACGTGCAGACGGCTAAGCTGTACACAGAGGATATAAACAGACCTACTCAGCTGGAGTGGTGTATTTACTCAAAGGAATCATGGAAGATTAGGTTAGAAAAGTCTACTAAAGATGGCAATAGCAGGCCTGAATGATTACAAACCTCCCGGAAGGTTTTGAACTAAGTATAGGCCAGATAACGAGTATTTTATACGAGCAATTTGATGCTGTGTACAGGATGGACTGGAGAGTACAAAGGCTAGAGAGTGGGAGAAAAACCTCATGACCAACCACTGGTCTAGGGAAGCTGTCACCTAATTCTGCCAGAGTTTAAAGCAAATGGTCTTGTTCTTTATAATTCCAGGTGGCAAGACAGAAATTTTTTGGATACTACAGTCGCTACTGAAGTGCTGGCCTCTAACAGTCAAACTCTATACTCAGGTTACCTTACCACCCAAGTTCTTTCAAAGTCATGGAGCAAAATAAGGGCAAGAGGCTTCTTCAAGCTTACCTGGGTGGGAACTGCAGCTGGTTCAGGCTCCACCCCTTAGCAGTCATCAGGTTTGATAATCGGTAGATGTCAAAATCACGAGATCCCAGAGCAATGACTGACAATTGGGGATTCCCAAAAACAAAGATGCCTTTGATATTTTCCAGTCTTAAAACAACAACAACAAGAAAAACAAATAAAAAAAGGAAGAAAAAGGAAATTCAGTCACATATAGTCTTCTGGTCACTATCTGTTTAATCATTCGAAGTCTTCCTTATAACGAATGCAATCTAACTCTTTGGGCTTTAGTCTTCTCATCTTCAAAAAGAAGAAGGCTAGACTGGGATCAATGGTTCTTACTGAGATCAGAATCATAGCTGGAACAATAAAAATACTCCAAGGCCCAAACCCCATCTAGATCTAATGACTCTGAATCACTGACTTCAAACCTTATACCCAACTCCCAATTATACTCCCCTACAGGCCTCTGAGGCATAAAAGATGTACTAAAAAAATTTCTGGAAAAATAATCTGTCCATCTCCACAGTTCTAAAAAGTTGTATGTAATCCCTAGAGCAACAAATGGCACAGCAAGTCTTAACAAAAGCAGAGCTATATGGGGACTTATATACGTATACCTATATAATTTTTATGTATTTGTTTGTTTGCTTATTTATTTGAGACAGGGTCTCGCTCTGTCACCCAGGCTGGAGTGCAGTGGTATGATCCTAGCTCACTGTAACCTCAAATTCCTGGGCTTCAAGCAGTCCTCTTGCCTTAAGCCTCCTGAGTAGCTGGGACCAAAGGTACACACCACCACATGTGGCTAATTTTTACATTTGTTGTAGGGACAGTGTCTCACTATGTTGCCCGGGTTGGTCTTTAACTCCTGGGCTTAAGCGATCCTCCTGCCTTGGCCTCCTGAAGCGCTAGGATTACAGGCATGAGCTACCATGCCTGGTCAAGGATCTTTTTCAAATGAGAAGTGCCTGCTGGCAGCTTTCCTTACCCCTCAAGATATTAAAAGAGCCTCCCAATCCAAGTGACACACAGAGAGACCGGCAGGTAAGATGTCAACAGATACATAAGACAAAGCATGCAGCCTGTTCTGGCCTTGGCTTAACCCCAGATTTCATTACCCTCCTTTCCTCATTCTTTCTGGCCCATTTCCAAATATTTCTTATTCCAATGATTCTTCAAGTATGATTCCTGGAGCAGTAGCATCAGTATCTCCAGAAATGGAAATCCTTAGGTCCTATCCCAGTTCTACTGAGTCAGAAACTCTAGGGATGGACCCAGGAATCTGTTTTAACAAGCTCTTCAGGTGATGAGGATGCATGCCCAAGTTTGAGAACCACTGTCCTAACCATTAAATTGCACATTAGCCTTAGGGTAAGAGCTGCCAGTTGTTAAGACATCCACAGAGATGAGACAACCTACGAATGAGGCCCCTGTCTCTAAAGACCCTCCAAAGGGAGCTTCTCCTCCCAGGCCAGCACCACACTCATAAGCTGCTGCCCTAACCCCTTTGTCCTGCAAGAGACAAGAGGTGGGCTAGGGCTGTGGATACTTAGCCAGGCAGGTGCCTTGAGCCTAGTAGGAAAAAAAGCAACAGACAAGGCAGAATCTCAGTCTTCCACACATACTCTGACTTGAGGAAGCGAGCAGTTTTGATGATCTGTTTGGTAGCTTCAACATAGCCGTTCTCACCGAAGTGCATCAAGGCAGCCCAACAGGCTGCGCTAATGCCACCGGGCCGAGAGCCTGCAATGGATGGGGAAGCATAGATGCCACCCTGCCAATCTGTATCAATGAAGAACTGATAGTTCCTGTACTTCTTGTCACGATACAACACCACTGATGAGCCTTTTGGGGCGAAGCCATACTGTGGAAGAAGCAGCAGACGAGACAAGTAAGAGTACAGTTCTGTCTGGCAGACCTTGTCCCAGAGCTCTCAGCATGCAAAGGAAATCCTACTTATTTGTCAGTTTCTCTGTAATGTTTCCCATTCCCATTAAGGATTCAAACTTAAAATGTTAAAGGGTAGAAGGAATTTAAGGGATGGAGTTTAAATTCTCTATGTTAGGAATGAGGAATCTGAGACCCAGGGAAGAACAGTGCCCAGTTAATGCATTTCTCTTGCCCAGTATGTAGTTTTTCTTATTTAAAGTATTTCACTGGGAGCCGTATGTCAGGGTGGAAACAAGGATAAGTTTCCAATGGAAGCCAGGAAAGGATGGAATTTGTCACTTTGAGTTAAAATCACCAACTGACCCCCTTCCCATCTTTTTTGCTTAGTATTACTAAGACTATTATGCTTATAAGAATATAATGGTGCTCAGAATCTAAAAGCTACTTAATACAGCTTTAAAATTAACCACGTAACTGGTTTTCTTATAGAACATCTGCCCCCCTAACTAACTCTTAGTAAAACTAACGTGGAACTAATTTCATTACCTGAACCATCCAGAAATGGATGGTTATGGGAAAAGGACACAGGAGCTATCTGGGTGGTAAGGAAAAAACAGATCCTGACTGAAAATCTGCTGCAGATCATATACATTTTAAAAAACACGTCTTTAATACACTTGAGTTTAAAACAAGCTTTGAAAATGCAATCAAAACATGGTACACATTCCCAAGACTACTAATACGTCTTCCACATCTGGATTTATACTCAGAAGCGTTACTAACTGATCTAGACTCTGTCTCAGTCCACCAAGGGTGGCAGGCATGGCCATCTCAAATGCTGAATGTTCCTGAGCACACAGGTTCTTCCCTATTTCCCAGAGGAGTCTTCCATCAACATTCTCCTGTCACTTAGGCTCAGGAGCCCAGCTGCACAGGCACTGTAATGTTATCTACCAGCATGTAAAGTCCACTATCAACCCTCACACCACTCTAACCTCCACCTCAAATCACCTCAAGGCTTCAGGGAAGGGCCACTATACTAGCATGCTCTAGTTATACACAGTCAATGGATACAGAAATTCTCTAAGCCAATTTGAGATAAAGGTAATAGGTTCCTTTTCACTGCTTGTCAATTCTACCACTATACTCCATCACCTGAACCAGCTAATCTGGTGATGGCAAGGAGAGAGTGTAAAACAAGCGTCTGATGAGAATTCTATAGATAGTTTTATACTTCGGGGAAACTACCAATTTATTTTATCAATAATAGTCAAAATAATCAACTGGTAACACTTGGTCTCCTCCTAGCTCACCTTATGGGTATCGGCTGAAATACTGGTCACACCTTTCACCCGGAAATCAAATGGGTACTCCAGTGGGTATCCTGCTTTCTCCATAAAGACGATGAGGAAGCCTCCCAGACAAGCGTCGACATGAAGGGGTATTTTGTATTTGACAGCCAGCTTGTTCCAAAAAACAAAGAACATAAGAGAATTTCCTTTATAGCCCTATAATAAAAACTGCAAGACAGGGGTGAAAAGATGGGCTATAAAAACAAGGCTATTTTGGATTATGCCTCATATGCTTTTTTAAAAAATTGCGATTTTTAACATTCCTGATAAAATTTATCTTTCAAATGTATTTTCCCTTCAAAATAATTCAACTGAAATATGGTATCTATTTTATATTTAAATAAGCATGACCTCAAACTCCCCGCAAAATCAGAAAGGAAATGAGTAGAGCTCTGATCTAGGCTGCCTCTGGCGCAGGAGAAAGGTCCTGCCTGCTTCAGTCACTACAGGATGAGGACAGAGGGAGAGGGAGGTGCTGAGGGGCAGCATGTGAAATGCCACCCTCTGGTGGGCACATAACTACATGCAGATTCTTTTCAGAACTCAATCTAACAGGCAAGACCATTTCAGAATATCCAGATTAAAGAACTATCCTACCCCACAGCAGAGACTAGCAACTTTCAGAGGCTTCAAACAGAGCCTCAGGGCTTCCCCTAGGGCTGATGAGAGCTACTCATCACTAACGTGGTCAAAACTAAAATAAAAATCGCTTCTATTTGCCAAGTACTGCTCCATTAGGCTTTGTTTTAAAATATCCACTGCCAGCCATAGCAGCCCATTTCTCCCATCTACCTTGGCCACTTCAGGGACAGGATCCATTATACCATGAGGAAACTGTGGGGTAGAACAGACGAGCATGGCAGTGTTCCTGGAGATGGCTCTTCTCATTGCCTAGGGATTTAAAGTTTAACGGAAAATGAGAATCTCTGTCACAATTACTCTTCTCTTCTGCTGCCAAGAGCAATCTGGGCTGCTAGCTGAGAGTTCCAGTTCCACTAGCATCCCCTCCACCACTCCAACTGGGAGCAGACTACATCCCACTATGGTGACAGGACACAGGCGAGTCCAGGTAGGCCCATTCAGGGAATAGTCTGAGAGCACAAAATAAGACTACAATTGCTGTGGGGGCAAAAGCAATATTGAGCTAAGAGGCAAGTGCCCTATGTGAGTCCAAGCCCCACAGCCTACCAGCAGTGAAACCCTGAATACACCACTTCAGTCTGTTCCTTATCCGTGAACTGCAATAACAGCTTGATTAACCTCTCTGGAATGTCGTAAAGCTCAAATGGGATTCTAACGGAACTCTCAAACTAGAAAATTCCTCTACACAAACGTGAGGCATAAAAATAATCACTTTTATAATGACAATGGTATTAATTCAAGCCAACCAAAACCACAGTGAGACTTTTTGTTTTGCTTTGAGATAGGGTCTTGCTCTGTCACCCAAGCTGGAGTGCAGTGGTTGTAAACATAGCTCACCGCAGCCTCAATCTCCTGGGGGTCAAGTGATCCTCCCACCCTAGCCTCCCGAGTAGCTAGGACTATAGGTGCATGCCACCACATCCAGCTAATTTTTTAAATTTTTGTAGAGATGTTGCTCAGACTGGTCTCAAACTCCTGGGCTAAAGGGTTTCACTAATCCTCCCTTCTCAGTTTCCCAAAGTGCTGGGATTACAGATGTGAGCCACTGTGCCTGGGCCACAGTAAGAGTCCTAGGGGAAGGGAGCCCATGCTCACTTTACAAATAGAGAAAAGAAAGGAAAAGTGGTGGTGCTGACAGCAAAACCCGTGGCGTCTTTAAAGTCTCAAGTTAGTGACTAGATCACCCCTCTTTCAGAATTCATGAACCTATGAAAAGACTGAAGCCGCAGTCAATCACCACTATCAGTGCAGTTTGATATTCTGGCTGCTACAATCAAAGGCAGTCAGAGCCCATCTGAGTGTGACTGGATATGGTTAGTCAGCAAGAGCCCTTTCTGCTGTCAGAGTCCAGCACAGACCGTGGGCCCTCCACAGGGACTCACCCGCACATCCACCTCCATCATCTTCGTCAGTGGGACCCGCACAAGCTTCATCCCAAAATAGCTGGCTGCCTTGTTAAATGCAGCATGGGCACTTTGGGGAGCCACACTAGATGACAGGGAAGAGGAGAATAATGAAATTCAGACCAAAATAATAAAAAAAAGCATTAGCAGCTAATCACTGGGAGTAAATTCTGATTATTTTTCCCCATATTAAGTATTTATACTGCTTTACTTTTCTTTTTAAGTACATACAAAAAGAGGCCAATTGATTTTCTGTAAAAACTTCCCTCCTACTGAGGAAATTATTCTGGCGATAGGAAGAGGACTCAGAAGTGATCCCACAGTGAGGGATCCCAAGCATAAAGCAGGGCTGGCAGGCGGAAAGCTGGGAGACAGAGACTTTGGATGAGAGCAACGTAAGGTAGAGCTGGCTAATGGCTGCCTACCAAAGACAGGCACTCTGTGAAAATGAGAAGCAGGCTTCCCAGTACAACCCATGTTCAAGCAGAAATATTCACAGAGCCTTCAAGCATCAGCTCAGTGGCCCCTTGAAAAACCACAAACCTGAAGACACTAAAATCCCCATTTCTCCTATACATTTGGAAATAGTATTTCAAATAGTGCTGTAAGAGGAAATGAGGTCACAGATAAGTATTGGCTTTAGATTTCCCTCAACGAGTCCATTCATACAATAAATCTGTGACTTTTAAGGAGAAAAATCTCTACTGCTGAAGAGCTACCAAACACCAAAGAGTGATGTATGAAGAAAGAATGGCAGCCTGGTTTATTCTCTGATGCTAAGTATGAATCACAGCATGAGACCATATGCAATAAATCCCCTCTGTCTCTGACATTTGTGGTGAAAATATTAAGATGTAGGATAAACATACTGTACAAAGGGATAGACAGTCTAGGGAAAATAATGTAACCAAACATGAAATTTATGTCTAAGGAAGGCAATGTGGGTAAATCTCGGTAAGATATTTTTATTCTTCCTCCCAGAAAACAGCCCTCACACTAAGATTTTCCCAGAGAGTACCCTGGAAGCAGCCTATAATATTAAGTAATTTTCTAAAATAAGTAGAACTAAGGTACCTACAGAGCTTTCTTTAGGCTCCAAATAATTTACAAACATCACAGGATTCAAAGATGCAGTCTTCAAACTGACTTTTTGGAAAAAGGATCTCATTTTTGCTTGTAGTATATACTATGTGTGATGAGGGGATGGGAATGATCTTTAAAAATAACTGGCTGATCTATTTAGAATTTTACTGAATGTAAAAGGATAAGGGCACAGAAGCTAGGAGATGGACCAGAATTACCAGAGGAAGAGAAGCAGCAGGAAAACAGACTATCTGGCTCTGTTTCATACAGCAGTACTCCAAACAGACAAATCCGAAAGGGGACAAAACAGCCACACATACATACATTTCTGGAGTTTTGATCCCCTTCTCGAAGGCCAGGTCCCGATATGCTTTGCAGGCCATCAATATGCTTTCTGTCCCCCCAGAAGTCACCTATAATAAAGAAGAGATGCCATCTGCTGGGGGAGAGTCAGGGATGCCCTGATTCTTCATGCCCTGATCTTGACAATGTTTGATATAGAAATAGATAAGGTCTTGGATGCATGCTGCAAGGCAGACACTGCAAGGCAGTCTTCCAGAAGGAAAATTTGGCTTTACTGCTAAGCCTAATTTTGGTTCAGAAGAATGAAAGGTACTAAGTAATGGGCAGAAACTCAGCACTGTCTAGACAAATGCACATCTGCCCAGATCCCACGTAGTCACAATCCATTTACATTTCTGTTAATTTTTCCATTTTCAGATAAGATAGGGCATTTTATGCCATTCGAAAATATCAGAATTATTTTATTTAAATCTTCAATGCCTGTTAAAGAATGTGAAATTGTGATGTTACAATTTTGGTAAATTGTGCAATATGCTAAAAAGAGACATTCAGATTTTCCAAAGTAAACTGGTGGTTTTGACACGTTTAAAAGAGAGAGAATAGCAGAAGTTTCTACTTGATAGAAGTTTGTGGCCTTATTTGAAATAAAACAAAAATCCTAATTTTTTAAAAATGAAGTAAAACGTTTTCCTAAAGCTTGGCCTAGCCCCTCTGATAAACAAATTTCTTACCAGAGTTCAAACCAAAAAAGTAGGGATCTTTTTATTCATCTTATTTTCCTCGCTGGACTACAGATTCATGACAGTAGGGACCAATCTGTTTATGACAACATTCCTGGCACCTGGCATGGATGCTGACACCAAACAGACCCTCGATCCATTTTTTTTTCCTTTTGAGACAGAGTCTCACTCTGTTGCCCAGGCTGAAATGCCATGCCGTGATCTCAGCTCACTGCAGCCTTAACCTCCCGGGTTCAAGCGATTCTTTTGCCACAGTTACCCGAGTAACTGGGATTACAGGCACCCACCACCACACCTGGCTAATTTTTGTATTTTTAGTACAGACAGGGTTTCACCATGTTGGCCAGGCTCGTCCTGAGCTCCTGGCCTCAAGTGAGCTGCCCATCTCAGCCTCCCAAAGAGCTGGGATTACACGTGTGAGTCACTGCGCTTGGCCCCCACACGTCTTAATGCCTCACCTGACTCTCAGTAAACCCTGACCAACACAGGCATGTCATGGCCACCTGGCTATATTTTTTTAAAATAATATATGAGAATGAGTCACTCCAAAACAAAGAGCCGCAGCACTAAACTTGTTGGACAACTTCTTAGACTTAGTATCTCTGAAGATTCATATAGTCTTTGAAAGGTTTTTTCAATTTACAGGTGAGAAAACTGAGCCCTTGAGAAATTAAAGTCTTCACTCAATGTCATACATTAGCATCTGTTGATAAGAAGTAAAACTTTTCGACATTTTGATATTCAGCGTACCTTAATACAAGATGGAATCACAGAAAGTGACCACTGAACTTTCCTAAAATAATATCCACATATAGGACAAAAATACCATTGGATACAAAATCCCTGTGGCCAGGAGTTATATAGAAGATTAGCTGAGAAAAGTTACGTCATTTTTTGATTCAGGAAGTCTTTATGAAACATGTGACGATCACCACAAAATAACGCACTGAACTTAGGCATGGGACACTTGCTTGTAGGTCTCTGCATTTCTGTGTTGCAGAAGATAAAGTGCTTACAGTTGAGGTCAGCTCTGCAAATCAGCAGCATGTCCTGTGGTTTAGCATAAAACCTCAGAAGGTCACGCGAGGAGCCAAGCCAGCTGTGAAGAAAGCTGGGAAGGGACCAGCGAAGTCCAAGTCTCCAGTGTGTCAATCTCTCCGAAGGTCCAGTAATGACCTCAGCAAAAATATTTCCAAATTCCTAGTCACCTGCTTCATGTGGCCTATTTCTAGTCCAATAACTAGTCAAAACATCATTATTTGTTAGGCAAACACCAGTGTACTTTTGACTGCAAAAGTAGGAATATCTAAATTCTACTTTTTTCTGTTTTATTTGAGACAGAGTCTCACTCCTTCACCCAGACTGGAGTGTCATAGTGTGATCTCAGCTCACTTCAATCTCCACTTCCCAGGCCCAAGAGATTCTCCCGCCTCAGCCCCCCAGAGTAGCTGGGACTACAGGTACACACCACCATGCCTGGCTAACTTTTGTGTTTTTTGCAGAGACAGGGTTTCAGCAAGTTGCCCAGGCTAGTCTCGAATTCCTGGGTTCGAGTGATTCACTTGCCTCAGCCTTCCACAGTGCTGGAACTACAAGTGTGAGTCACCACGCCTGGCCCTAAATTCTACTTTTAAGTTTTATTTCTGATTCTGTGTTTTAAAACTGTATTACTCTTTACTCTTCCACTTATTTTTTTTTATTGTTTTGTTTTCAATCCTAAGCAAGACAAATTCCACTTCTTTCTACCTTCTATACTCAAAGAAAAAAACAGAAATTTTAACTGTGAAATAAGAAAATGGAGGCCTCAGTAACTACTTGTTATGTTATTCAACTTCTTTCAACATGTATAAAAACTCTCACTTTAACATATAGTATGTATTTCAGAAAACAAGAGAATACCATCTAGTTGGAAAATTTTCTCTCGGAGGCTGTTTGGGTCTGATGATACGAGCGCAAGACAAGAAGAATGTTTCACATGGTAACCTAATTTCTTTCAGTATGTGAAGTTATCTCTATCATTGTGACTGAGACAAACACAGTTAATAGAAGGAAAGATACTTTAAGGTTGAAGAACAAAGAATGAGAAGAGCTTACAGCTCTCAGCTAGGAATAACCTAAAGACTGCCCAGCCATTTGACCTTGTCTTCTTGCTTCCCACTCTGAACACTGAACTCTTTCTTCAGCAAAAGCAACTCATCCAGAGAGAGAAATAAGAAGCAAAGGAAGGAGTGCGGGAGACGAAGCAGGAGAGGGAAAAAGACAATAACAATGCTGATTGGTTATCTTATAAAAGTCTAAATATTAGAAGAGCCTGGGAATCACGCCATCCTTCTCCTGATCCCTGACACATGTGCTGATGAAGGTCATAATAACAGAGACAAGGTTTAATTGCAGCAATACAAAAAAAAACTTAGGCCAGGACTTCTGGAGTAAGATGGGAATTTAAAAAAAAAAAAAAAAAGGTGGCGGCAGTGGGAGAAAAGAGTCAAAACCTACAACCACCACCAAACAAGGAAAGAGAAATAATCTAATGCAATAAACTTCAAGTATTGGGAAAGAGAAAGAAAGAAAAGAAAAGAAAGAAAAGGGGGGGAGGGAGAGGGAGAGAGAGGGAGGGAGGGAGGGGGGGGAGAGAGAGAGAGACACAGAGAGAGAGGCAACAGAAAGCAGAAGTAAACAAAACACTAGTTTCTAATCAGCCCCTGAAACTGTACTGCAAAGTCAGCAAAGTTCTGAGAATTTTCCTTTAGACCCCCCCAAACCTGCAGAGAGGCAAGCTGAGGGGGTTTCCTTATCTTCTTCCTCTTCTCATGAGTGAGTGGTAAACATGGCTGCTAGGGAGAAATGAGCAAAATGGGAGACAGAACATCAGGACTGGCTCTTTAGAGCGAAGACTTAAGTGAATTAAATAAATAATCAGAGCTCAAAGAGTATTATCTCTTCCAAATAAGAGAGTGAACTCTGATAGGTAATTTTTAAGAGAATCTCAGAACAGACCCATATATTCTCTTACAGACAGAACAAAGCTTTGGCTGACTTTGTCCCCCACCAAATGGTCTCAGACAAGCAGCGCCCACAGTGCGTAAGAACAAACAAGGTCTGGAGAATGCCACCCCAGGATGACAGAAAATGGCAAGGCAACTATGCAAACATACTGAAAGGGAAGGGAAAAGGCAGCACGTAGCATGCAAAATAAAAGCCCACCTCAGAAGAAAACAAGCTAAGAGGCAGAAGGAAACTCCTTACAACTCTCTCACTATAGGAAAATATCATGAGAACATGAATTTAAGAAAAAAACAAAGAGTTCAAAGCCTAGACTATGAAACAACAGAATGAGCTACAGACCTAAAAAAAGAAAAAAGAAAAAAAAAAAGCCAGTAGCATCCACATAGAACTAATAAAAACATTAGGAATAGCGAGAAATAAAATAAACATTGCCGAGAATAAAAATGCTGACTTCAAGGAAAAGGTCTGAGATAAGTTTAGTGAACCCAGATTAAAAAGATAGAGAGACTGAAAGATCAGTGCCACTCCACACATAGAGAACCATGTTCAGTCAAGCCAGAGACAACCGAAAGGCATTCAGAGAATGACTTTGATGGCTGGACAGCTGTGAAATCATCTGAGCAGCAGAGTAACCCAGAAAAATTCGGGGAAGAGAAGATTCAGGGAGAAAGGGGCTTTCAAATATACAAAGCTCTGTCACAAGGAAAAAACAGTTACGGAACTTCTATTTTCAGCAATATATAGATTATATACCTTGAGCAACCCTCCTAACTGAATAACTAAAAAACTTGATGAAACATCAAAAAACAAAAAATTTAAACCCATCATTAAGCTAACATAAAGAAACTTACAAAACCCCCAAACAAAACAAAATCAAGAATCCTGCAAGATAAGAGAACACCAAAACTAGCTTTCACTCTGAGGGCAGCAGCAACCCCTACAGACTTCAAACTCCTACACTGACAGGTGAGCAAAGGATGGACCAGAAGATACATTTAGAGATTGCCCAAGGTAAGAAGTCCAACAGGAGATGGCTAGAAAAAATTAGACTCTTAAGTGTACAAGAAATAAATCCCACTAATGCAAAAGAGGAAAGAAAAGGAAAACTGTTTTCTCAACCCTGATGTTCAAGTAAAGAAAAATAAGAATCTTTCAAGAATGTGAAACAACGAAGTCTTCATGTGAGTCTGTGGTCAGAATTCACACTACCTCTGTGGAACAAAACGACAAGTTAAGAATTTGGCTTAATTTGGTTCCAGTGTGGTGGCAATCCCCAGCAACTCACAAAAGTATGACAAATCTTCTCTGGAAGAAGAGAACTTCCAGACTTAACTTCAATCTAGGCCTCAAAGACACCCTAGGTTCCCAGAAAAATGAGCGGCTCATATTAAAACAATCACAAATATAAGGAAACAAGGAACCATGACTGAAGCCAGCAGAACCAAACACGTAAGGCTCATGGATATTGGAATTATCAGACACAGAGGACAAAATATTTATGTGTAATATATTTAAGTAAACAAAATTTAAGCCAAGGAAAGGAACCATAAAAAGACAACCAAGCAGATTTCAAAAAAAAAGATGGTGTGGTGGCTCACACGTGTAATCCCAGCACTTTGAAAGCCAAGGCAGGCAGATCACTTGAGGTCAGAGTTAAAACCAGCCTGAGCAACATGGTGAAACCCTGTCTCTACCAAAAATACAAACATTAGTGAGGTGTGGTGGTGCATGCCTATAGTCCCAGCTACTCTGGGGGGCTGAGGTGGAGGATCACTTGAGCCCAGGGAGGTCAAGGCTGCAGTGAGCTAAGATCACACCACTGCACCCTGGCCTGAGCGACAGAGTGGGACCCTGTTTCGAAAAAGAAAAAAAATAAATAAATAAAAGGAGAACTACAAAACAGAATTCTTAAGAATGAAATTATAGTAAATAAAATTTAAAAGCCCAATGGGCTTCTACTTATCATCAGGCTCCAACAATTTTTAATTTACAGCCAAGCTTTCATCTAACCCCACCTGCCCCAGCCATTGTTGCTATTGAGAATAACAGTTATGCCTCTGTAGGTTATCTATGTTCTCTGGCTGCTCTCAAACACCAATTAGATGTGTGTTAGCCTTCTTATTCTATCCTTTGCATCTCTTAACATTTCTTTCATACTTTCTATTTCTTTGTCTCTCTGGACTGCATTCTGGTTAATTTTTTTATTTTTTATTTTTATTTTTTTTGCATCTTATTCCATAAATGTGACTTTGGAACTATGTACTTATTTTACCTAGTTTTAAATGAACCAGGGCTCCTTGGACAAATGGCTGATTGTAGGCCTGGAGCAGGAAATGGGCAGCGAACATGGAATATTTTGTCAAAAAAAAAAAAAAAGGAAAGAAAGAAAAGGCTTTCAAAGATTACTTGGGTCATGCAAATGGACTTAGGAGCCAATACGAAGATGTTCTCACCAGCCGAAGATGGATGAAATAATTTGAGCATCAATCTGAATAACAGCTACAATGGATTAAGGCACACACAGCATTCCACAATTTATTCATCTGTGTACTGTGTATAGGCATTTGAATTATTTCCAGTTTTGAGCTATCACAAATAACATTGCTATGAATATATATATATATATGTATATATGTTTGTATCTGTGAGACAGTCTCACCACGTCGCTCAGGCTGGGGTGCAATGGCGATCTAGGTTCACTAAAACCTCTGCCTCCCGGGTTCAAGTAATCCTCCTGCCTCGGCCTCCTGAGTAGCTGGGACTACAGGCACCTACTACCACGAACGACTAACTTTTCTATTTTTAGTAGAGACGGGGTTTCACCATATTAGCCAGGCTAGTCTCGAACTCCTAACCTGTGATCTGCCATCCACCTGCCTTGGCCTCCCAAAGTGCTGGGATTACAGGCATGAACCACTGTGCCCGGCCCACTGCTATGAATATAAATGTCCATATACCCTGATATAAACGTGTACTAATTTTTCTAGAGTATGTCCGGAGTAGCAGAATTTCTGGGTCATAAGATACATGTATCTTCAAATTTACCAGATAAGGCCAAACTGTTCTGTGGCTGTTACTCTGTGGCCTCTTACAAGTTCTTCAAGAATCTAAGGGCACAGGAGAATATATTGTGAGTACATTATAATCTTCCCTCTGAAAGTCACCCTGTTCACCTCAATACTCTAAGGAAAACTGCTACTATATTATAGGTGGTTCTGTTTTTTAACAGTTTGATTATTTTGTTTTGAAAATGAATGACAGGAACATCACTTTTATTACTTCTGAATATCTGAACATGATGATTTTCATGGTGCCAACACATTAGAAAAACAAAACAAAAACAATGCTTCCTGGGGGAAAAAACTAAACTAAACTAAACTATTAGGTGTCCTTGCCTTCAAATGGACCCTTCAATAATTAAATCTGCAGTCTTTATCATGAGTATCTAATAGGATTAGCACCTCTAGGACACCATTACAGCATACTGAATTAAATCTATCTATCCTACATAACCTGAGGTTTAGTTCTTTCTAAAGACAACAGATCTAAACAGATGTTTAGGAAAACTAACAACCATCTACTTGAAAGAACAGGTAAAACAAGGAATTCTCATGTGTTTCTTTAAATAGAATGATGTCTTCTTGCTTTTTAGATTCCTAACACCAACTAAATGAGGTTCAGTTTACAGCAAAATAATAAACTAAACTTTGGCTCAGGTAAAACCGGAAGTATAGTAAAAACACTGCTGGATGGCTCAACAAAAGTATACATAGATAAATAGGGGGATGGTAGGAGTGCCGGTGGGGGATAAGCAAAGAAGGGGGTAGGGAGGGAAGGTGTGTAGAGAGCAGATATGGCAACATATTTACATTCAATGAATCTAAGGTGTTCTTTAACCCATCCTAGCAATTGAATGTAGATTCAAAGTTTTTCAAAATAAAAAGGTGAAGAGAAAAATATCTATAAGAATATATACCAAATGTTGACATTCTCTGGGTTACAAAATTACAAGCAACATTTAAAACTGCAGTTAATTAGGCTCTCTCTATAATGATCAAATATTCCTTGAGTAGTAAGATGATCTTTCTACAATGATCAAATATTACTTGTAGGGTAAAATATTTTTAATAAACTCCTCTATTTTAACCTAAAAAATAAGGCTATTGGATGCCACTTGCATATACTTACACATCCACACGAATCTGGTCCCCCATTGAACAGGGAGCAAGCTATCCTCACAACTTCAGCCTCTATCTTGCGTAATCCTGGGAAGATATCTGGATGCAGGGGGTTACTCCATGCAAAATCTCCATAAGCCTGCAAAGAAATGCAAGCAGATGTGAGATTAAACTATTACACTATACGGGACAAAGAATCACACACTAAAGAGTTTCTAAGTATTAGGCACAATGATAGGAACTAGAAAAAAAGGTAAGATATATTCCTCAACCTAAAAAAGATCAAAACATAGTGGAGAAGACAGACATGTAAATTAATAATTTTACAATGCAGTAAGGAAAGAAGTATAAACATGGTTAAAAGAGCAGACTATAACACCAAACAGACCCAGCAAGAAATCTTAGCTTTGCCTATCACTTTCAGCTGTGTAGGTCAAATAATCCAAGGTTGTTTCTTCATATGCAGAAGAAGTTATGGTAGCTATCTTCTAGTGTTCTAGCAATAATAACATAATGCTTGTGAAGAACTTAGCAGAGTGTCTGGCAAAAAGCAGCTGTTATCGACTGCAATACCAGATTTGTGTGCAGAGTGTTAAAGGACCCTGAAGAGGGAACAACTAACATCCTGAGTGGTCTAGAGGTGTCCACTGACTGGAACTTTGAGAGATGAGGGTAATCATCATTTAGAACAAGAGGAATGATGGAAGGGAAGGAAAACAACATGATGAGAGCATGACACATTCAGTAAAGAGAAAAGGCAGAATTAAGGTTTATGTGGGAAATAAAGAGTAGTAGTTGAGAAAAAATACGTGGGAGTTGGCTCATGAAGACACTTGTATTCTCTGCTGCATAAGAACCTGTTTCATCCTTATAGATGATGAAAAGCTACTGAAAGATTTTAAGCACAGATCAGAGCATTACACCAAGCTATGCAAAACCTATCATATTTATTTAGTAAAGTATAAGTAGTTTCATATTTATAATAAACACAAAGATGTTAGAGATCATCAGTACAACCCCAATTTTATATGATGAAGTGGACTTTCAAAAATAAATGTGAGGTGCTCCTTTGGCAGCACACATACTAAAACTGGAACGATACAGAGAAGATTAGCATGGCCCCTGCGCAAGGATGACACGCAAATTTGTGAAGCGTTCCATATTTTTAAAAAATAAAATAAATAAATAAAAATAAATGTGAGGGCTGAGTGCAGCCGTTCACACCTGTAATCCCAACACTTTCAGAGGCCAAGGCAGGAGGATTGTTTGAGGCTAGGAGTTCAAGACCAGCCTGGGCAATACAGTGAGACCCTCTCTCTACCAAAAAAAAAAAAATACAAAAATTAGCTGGGCATAGTGGTGCACTCCTGTAGTCCCAAGTACTCAAGAGGCTGAGGTGGGAGGATCATTTAAGCTCAAGAGGTCAAGGCTTCAAGGAAGTGAGCCACGATAACACCACTCTACTGCAGCCTGTGTGACCAGAGTGAGATTTTGACTCTAAAAAAATAAAATAAAAATAAATTTGATTAGAAATGAAAGAAGCTAACAATGAAAATTATTTGAAGTACATGTGAGATCACTGCTCATCTTGGGTCACATGATTTGAGAAAATTATGAGAGTTTCCTTATCTCTTCTTACCAAACAAAATCTGTCTCACCATAAAAAAATCTCATCTAACAGACCTACCTTCCCTAGTAATCTGCCTTCTACATAGGACATTTTTGAAGCCTGAAAACCTAAATAACATTTTACTACTTTACAGACTGAAGATGTCTTTGATAATATCATACATATTTGCTTATGTCTGGGTGAAGAGAAACTTTCATGGTTTTATTGTAACAATAAGCTTTCCTTAAGTAATTTTTCTAATTACAAAAGTAAGGAGAAAAAAGGAGGTCATGTAAACTGGCACAGATCTCACAGGTTTCCCTCAAGAACTGGATGCTCACCTTTACAAGGAGCTCAGTGAGCTTCTCCTCCCCACTGTACACGGTTCCAGAGGCTCTCCCCTCTTGCCAGAAGGCATCTGCAGAGAAAGGTAAGATTACTGGGTCAGTAAGCAGGAATCTCTGGGAAGACAGGTTCTAATAAAGAACAAACAGGAAGAAACCTCTCTGGGTACAAAAGAAAAAAAAAGTTGAGTGGAAACCCAACCGCATTCTTATAGTAAATAGAAAAAAGTTCAATAAACAGCCCAATAAAGATAAAAAATAATTACTATCAGCAATGTGAAAAAGACATTAGTAGCATTTAGGTACAATAAAAACAGTCCGATAATAACATTTTCCTCATCTTCAACTGCCTTCTAATACCAGAAACATTTTCCTTGGTCTATACTTATTTTCTGTTCTCTGTATGGCTTTGGAGTGACCTTTTTCTGCAATAGCTTCCTTCTTCTCTCCCTTCCTAACCAGTCCTAGGAATTCTGAGAACTGTTAATGGGAAGAGTTGGCAGAAAAAGCAAGACGAGAAGTATGAAATTTCAGCACACTATCATCAGAGACAAAACGAGAAAACAAACCACAATGAGGTATAAACCATGAGCACCCTGGTCTCAGAGGCCACTCCCTTCAGCCAAACCTGGAAACCCACACAGAACTAGCTACCTGCTTCCAGCAGCACATGCTGTAGCATTCAAAATCAGGAACACAGGCAACATTGGGATAGACCTCCTTTGTCCCAGTGTTGAAAGAAAAGTGAAGTTCCTGACTAGAATATAAGATCTGACTTTCCACTTTCCTCTCTCCCCGGGAGACATTCATTTTATCCATAGATCTGCTGATGTGGGTGTCTCAGGTCCTTCTGCTACAATGCAGCTGTGCCCTATTGAAAGTGGGTAGTGAGAAAGCTATTACAGTAACACACTAACTAAAAACTGCATGGAGCCACAGACTCTCCAAAGCAAAGATCTTCAGCTTTTGAGAACAGAAAACTGAGTGGTAAATATACAAACAAACTCATTCACACAGCAATCTGCCAACCTCTGGCTTGCTGCCCATTTGACTTTCACTCTTTCCTTAGAGGACACTGCTCTGTAGCATGCACATCTTCAGACCAGAGGTCACCAGCCTTTCAAAAATAAGTTATCTGGTTTCGTTTCCTGTTCTTTTACTGATGCTAGAGAACACAGCAATGGACAGTGACTTAAACACTGAAGAAGGCAATATGGTGGTGGCAACCAGCTCTCATAATCATGGAAATCTTCAACACACAGGTTTTAGGGTGCTAACCCCTGCTTTATTCATCTACATCCTAGACTATATCAAATTTCGTACTATCCAACGTCAAGACCTCAACACATGTCACTTAGAAATTATAAAGGTATTTGTCAAGGCCGGGCACACTGGCTCACACCTGTAATCCTAGCACTTTGGGAGGCCAAGGCAGGCAGATCACCTGAGTTCAGGAGTTCAAGACCAGCCTGGGCAACATGGCGAAACCCCATCTCTACTAATAACACAAAAAAATTAGCTGGGTATGGTGGCGCACACTTGTAATCCCAGCTACTTGGAAGGCAGAGGCCTAAGAATCGCTAAAGCCTGGGAGGCAGAAGTTGCCGTGAGCCAAGATCGCACCACTGCATTCCAGCCTGGGTGACAGAGTGAGACTCTGCCTCAAAAAATAAAAATTAAGGGTATTTGTCAAAATGCAACATGATATCCTGGATTGGCTCCTAGAATATAAAAAAGAACAGTTTAAAACAAAACAAAACAAAAAAATCCTGATGAACTAGCAACAGAATTTGTAGCGTAGTTAATAGCACTGTATCAATATTAATTTTTTAGTTTTGATAAACGTACCATGGTTATAGAGGATGGTAACATCATGAGAAGCTGAGTGAAGGGTATATGGAAATCTCTATCATCTTTGCTACTTTTCTATAAATATAAAATTATGTCAAACTAAAAAGCTTATTTTTTAAAAGTACTTGTAATATGATCTTAATCAGTAACAAACATGAATCTGTTTGAGTTAATAGCAATAATGGTTAACATTTACTGAACACTTACTATATGCCAGGCACTATAAAACATTTACACATGTATGATTTCATTTAACCTTTTCAGATAAGTACTGTACTGATGTTACTATTCCCATTGTAAAGATACAGGAACTGTGACATACACAAGTTAAGTAATTCACCAAAGGCATACTTTAAGTGGTAAACCAAGAATTTGAATCCAGGCTCATTCCTGGGTTATGCTCTTAAGCCCACCAAGCTATCTGGTGTATTATCTATCACGTAGGTGCTCATGCATATACGTGTATAAACACACACAAACACTATCAGCATTCTCAGAAACAGATAGATATACAGATAAAGATAGATGTGAACCTATACAGACAGATCTACCTGTAGCTACATGCATATAGATATATACCATCTCTTTATCTCTGATGATGGAATTATAGTGACTTATTTTTCTTTGTGCCTTTATGCGTATTTCACATTTTTACGTGAATCTGTATTTCATATCTGATATTCTCTCTTCTTTTTTTTTTTTTTTTTTTTTTGAGATGGAGTTTTGCTCTTGTTACCCAGGCTGGAGTGCAATGGCACGATCTCAGCTCACCACAGCCTCCGTCACCTGGGTTCAAGCAATTCTCCTGCCTTAGCCTCCTGAGTAGCTGGGAATACAGGTGCGCGCCACCATGCCCAGCTAATTTTTGTATTTTTAGTAGAGACAGAGGTTTCACCTTGTTGACCAGGATGGTCTCGATCTCTTGACCTCGTGATACACCTGCCTCGGCCTCCTAAAGTGTTGGGATTACAGGCTTGAGCCACCGCGCCCGGCCTGATATTCTCTCTTCTTAAACACAAACATATTTGTTTCAGTCATGCTTACAAAAGGAAATAAAGCAAAGTTCCACTATCTCTGAGATGTGCTTGCTTTATGGATGAAGAATGAATCTAAACATAATTTTTAAAATATGAAATACAACCTGTGAAACAGAGAGTAGACCCTCCTAAACATGTAAGAACCAACGATGAGTTATTCTTAACCTATGTGTACATTAAACAATGACAAAACCCGTTGTTTTAAGGAAGCAGAGAGCATGTATATGCCAAGCATCATACCCATAGAGCTGTACTCTTTAAGTTTCTCCAAAACTGCAGATGAGCTCAGACCCTGGGAGGGCAAAGCTTTCACATACTCTTTGTCCACTTTCATGAATGACATGTTCTTGTTAATATCCTCCTTGGTCTTGTTCAACTTGTCTTGAATCTCCAAAGGTAAGAAAGACAAAGTTAATGAGATGCAAGAGTACAGTAGAGACAGCAGAACCATTATGACATTTAAGCAACTGCTTAAACGCTGGGCACTGCACAAGTAACTAGATAACATTTTTCTTAAAGATATATGGTGCTATTTTGACTGGTCAGCTACTTTCTGGCATGTACAACAGCCTCTTAAAAATCTGAAAAGTGAAGCTTCTCTCTAAAGGTCAAAGATGCACTCAGCCGGGCGCGGTGGCTCATGCCTGTTATCACAGCTTTTCAGGAGGCCAAGGTGGGTGGACTGCTTGAGGTCAGGAGGTAGAGACCAGCCTGGCCAACATGGTGAAACTCCAACTAAAAATACAAAAATTAGGCATGGTGTAAGGTGCCTGTAATCCGAGTTACTCGGGAGGCTGAGGCACGAGAAACACTTGAACCCAGGAGGTGGAGATTGCAGTGAGCAGAGATCACACCACTATACTCCATCCAGCCTGGGCAACAGAGCAAGACTCTGTCTCAAAAAAAAAAAAAAAAAAAAAAAAATGCACCCAATTTCCCCTTAACCCATTTCTCTGCCATGCTGATATCACTGCCACTTCACTTGGTTTGCATTGCTAAAGTCAGCACATCCCTGAGGGCAATATTTGGACTTTGATCCTGCCTTGGCAGCAACTACAGTATGTGTGTAAAACAATCAAAGTTACAAACTGGCCATGCTGCAATAAAAGGCATTCTGGTCCTTGTGCAAGTGCTGAGCTCCTTCAACAGACATGCACACAGCACACCAGGAATTTGGAGGCCCCATACAATACAAGCACAAAGCATTCTAAGAATTGCCAGGAAGGCTCCAACGTATCTCCTTAAGCTTGTACCATCTGACCCCAAAATGTTAGGAGGAGCTAAGGTCCCTTCTGCTATGCCATTTATTAACTATGATTCTCTTCTCTTCCATCCTCAAAGCAATACCTTCTAAGCCATTTTCTTTTACTCAACAAATATGCAGGCCGGGGATACACAGTGAACAAAACAAACTTTTAAGCAGTAGAGAACACAGGAAAAAAAAAAAAAAAAAACTAAAAATTACTTCCTGTCCTCATGAAGTTTATTTTCAGCAGGAGAGACGGCAAGTTAGTCAGGTAGCAAAAAGTGCTGAGGAAAAAAAAGAGCAGAGTAAAGAGGCAGAAGGGTAGGGCCTTAGACTTAAAGCAGAAGACTCTTGGTTAGTAGGTTTGGGGAGAGACGCTACATGTCACAACTTGTTCATGTCACAGTGCTACTGTTTCAGCAATATATTTGCTAAAGAACTCAAGAACTCACTCCACACTAAGATTTTTCTCATCTCTAGCCATGAATGATTAGAAGAAAGAGATGTTCTTAGATATGGCCCTTGATGAAACCGCAGGGTAAGCCACTCTTTTGAGCACACCTGCAAATAGTCTAACAGGCCTGCACTAGCAGAAAGCAGAGGCTACACTCCTGGGCAATTCCCGGGCATGCTATGGGCATGAAGATATTTTTTAAGTTGTAAATTTAAAAATTAATTCACATAAACAGAACAGGCTATGAAAGCTTAGCTTCCATACATAGAATATGCTATTACCATAAAATAAAACAGACAGCAAATGACAGAGGTATATTAGAAAGCACAGCAAGTACTTCCTTACTCCCAATTCTTGCCTCAAAGCCTATATTACGGTACCCAATTTTAATTTCTTCAAAGCATTTACTTCAAAATAACATTTCATGTATTTGTTTACTGATTTATTTTCTGTCTTTCCTATTAAAATGGTAAGTTCTGGCTGGGCGCAGTGGCTCATGCCTGTAATCCCAGCACTTTGAGAGGCTGAGGCAGGCAGATCATGAAGTCAGGAGTTTGAGACCAGCCTGACCAATATAGTAAAACCCCATCTCTACTAAAAATACCAAAAATTAGCCGGGTTTGGTTGTGCACACCTGTAATCCCAGCTACTCAGGAGACTGAGGCAGGAGAATCGCCTGAACCCAGGAGGCAGAGGTTGCAGTGAGCCGAGATCACATCACTGCACTCCAGCCTGGCCGACAGAGCAAGACTCCATCTTAAAAAAATTAAAAAGTAAGTTCCATGAGAGGAAGAACTTGGTCTTATTCACCACCATATCCCCAGCACCCAGAAAAGTACTTGACACTGAGCAGGTGGCTCAATAAACATGTGTTGATAAGTGAATAAATGACAGAGGGCTACACATATACACAGATGCACGTGAGCGTGCACACACACGTAACTTTTTGTCTCTAAGCCTCGGAATCTGCTTCTGAAAAAACAGAGGGTAATCAGATAGCCCTTAGCAAGCTAAGGATATTTACTTTATAAGTTAAAGAATGGGTTCTGGAACCCTAGCATTTATTTGTCTCAAAGTCTGGATACTGAATAAAGTGAGAAGAAAAAAAAATGCAGGAAATAAGGGGAAATCCTAATGTAATTTGTGCTGTAGTCCATCTTCTACAATACCTTCCCTGTTCCCACCCCTTATACTCTGTAAGGGCTAGATTTACTTTTAGGGATTAATACAATTTGGAGAGCAAACAGAAGCCTTTGTGCTCACATCCCCCTTCACCACTCCATTTATTGCTTCCACTCCCCTACAGGAAATGAACCTGAAGACATTATCTCTGGGAGGGTTAGCACAGCAGCCTGATTGGATTTCAGCCAAAGGCTAAAGATAACTGGCAACCTTTTAGGTCAGGAGTCAGCGAAAGACCCCTGGTATAGCCAGGAAAGAAAACTGAAAGCCCAAAGTGAAAGAAAACTTGAAGACAAAGTTGGGAAAGACCAAAGAAGGGTGAGGGGAAGACACTGGAGGAGATGAAGATGCCAAGGACTCAACTGCCTTCCTGAGAGCTTGCCAAGGGGCCTGCCCTGTTTATCTTCATCTGTGACAAAGAACCTGTGGGAGGCACAGAGGTGACTACCTTATCCTCAGCATGGGTGGAGGCAAAGAGGAAGAAACAAAGGGGACATTCTATAATACGGATAAGTGCAAAGAGCAAGTGACAGCGCTGTGCAACTTGGGATCAGCAAACTACAGCCAGGAACCTACTAAGGCATTCCTGAATTCGTAAAGAAAGTTTCACTGGAATAGAGCCAGGCTCATTCATGAACCTCTTGCTGCCGTCCCTCTACAAGGGCAGAGGTGAGGAGTTGCAACAGACACGATATGGCCTACAGAGCCCAAAATGTTTCATATCTAGCCCATTACAGAAAACATTTGCGGACCCGACCTAAACCCTGTGAGCACCCAACTCCTAGATAAATATCTCGAGTCAGCCAGCCATATATTGTTCCAAAGCACCGTAACACTACAGTCAAGTCTTCTCATTTCAAATTCTTCCTTAACAGGCTTCTCATCTCTCCTTTGGCCATTCATGTTGGGAGACAGCATTAAGTCAGGGTTTCTCAACCTTGGCTCTTTTGACATTTCCAGCCAGATAATTCTGTGTTGGGGCAGGGGGGCTGCCCTGTACATTGTAGGATGTTCAGCAGCATTTCTGGCCACCATCCATTACATGCCAAGAGCACCACTCCATCCTAGCTGTGACAATGGAAAACTTCTCCAAACACTGCTAAGTGTCCCCTGAGGCAAGGGGAAAAAATCATCCCTCCACTTTGAGAATATTAGGTTCAGTAAATAGGAAGAAAGAAGTATGATGCTCAAGAGAGGAAAAAAATGACATATACAGATTCCACTTACCTTACGACCAATGATGGGCATCTTCCTAGTGAGCTTAAAACATTTCTTTTTAAACCTTGACCATAAACCTGTAAGAAACAAATGGTTTTCTTATTAAAATAAATTTCCAGATATGACCTGGTATATAGCAACTATTCAACGTGCCTTCCGCAACCTCACTTGCCTCCAATTGCAAAGAATTGCTTTCCTTCAAAAAACAAAAAAAAACTTTTTAAATTTAAATTTGTGAAGTACCGTATTTACATGATTCAAAATTTAAAAAATACAAACGCATTCACATATAGTAAAGCAGTGAAGTTTCCCTCTTTCAAACCTATCCCCCTGACCCTCATGCTACCCCCAAGTAAACACTACTGTTAGTTTCTGGTACACTCTTCCAGAGTTTCTTTATGCATACACGTGCTATACTTATTTGTCTACCTTCTTTTGCACAAAAAGCATACTCTAGCACTGTAGTAGACCTTGTTTTTCCACTTAGGAGTATTATCTTAAAGATCAGTGCATCCTCTTTTTTTTTTTTTTTTTTTTTTGAGACTGAGTCTCACTCTATCATCCAGGCTGGAATACAGTGGTAGAATCTCAGCTCACTGCAACCTCTGCCTCTCGGATTCAAGCGATTCTCCTGTCTCAGCCTCCCAAGTAGCTGAGACTCCGGGCACATGCCACCTAATTTTTTGTATTTTTAGCAGAGACAGTGTTTCACCGTGTTAGCCAGGATGGTCTCGATCTCCTGACCTTGTGATCTGCTGCCCACCTTGACCTCCCAAAATGCTGGGATTACAAGTGTGAGCCACCGCACCCGGCCCTCGCTAATTTTTATAGCTGTAGAGTATTACATTATATGGATGTGCCAACATTTATTTAATCTGCCCCTTAATGATGGACATACAGGTTGTTTCTAATATTTGCTACTACAGATCATGCTGAAATAAGTAACCTTTTAACACACACCATACTGCATACTTACAAGTGCACCTACAGGATAAACTCTCAGAAGCAGAACTACTAGGTCAAATGATGTACGTATTCCAGAATTCTTGACCTTCCTAAGGTTTCTAGATGTTCAACATTTCTCTTCTTTCCCCCAAGACTAATGGCCAGCCCCTGTTTCCAGTTTGTTTTTCCTGGATCTATGTCCACCCTCTCATTCAATGCAAATTCTAACATTTTCTGGACCTACAAATGCCCTCAAAATCGTGGATGCTGGCCGGGCACAGTGGTTTACACCTCTAATCTCAGCACTCTGGGAGGCGGAGGTGGGAGGATTGCTTGAGCACAGGAGTTTGAGATCAGTCTGGGCAACACAGTGAGACAGAAACAACAAAAAGAAAAAAAAGTCTGAAAAATCGTGGATGCCAGAGTCCATACTATCAGGCAGTATATGCGACAAATAGAGAATTCTAATCCTGTTGATTATAATAATCATAAATACGCAGCATCTAAACAGACTGATAGACCTTCTAATGCATTCGTACTCAATATATCTCCACTGACTCTGACAACAGTATTCTGATGCTGGCACAGAGGCATTATAGACCATCCACAAGTGACATAAAAGCCAATGGAAGATCAAAGCATCAAAACTTGCTTAAGGCCACAGATAAAATCAGTGATGAAGCAAAGATTTAACTCAAGTCTTTGTATTTTCAGTCCAGGATTCCTAGGATTCTATACTGTTTCAAATGCACCATAGGAATTTCCTGTTTGAGTCTATAAGAATCTAGGCCTGGCTTTTATCCAAGGTGTGAACTGAGTATGAACTTGAACTGCATTCCTAGGAGATCTGGGAATTCTCACTTTCCTGGCCAGAAGGAGCTCCCTCTTCACTCAACAACCACAGGATGTGTCTGTGCCCGCTTTTTGTATCCATTGCATCATGCCTGCATCTCTGCTAGCTGTTTCTGATTCACCTGTAACCTTCTCTAACTCTCCCTAGAGTCCACATTCTGTAAATACCTGGGACAAAACCAGGTAACTAAGACACAGACTTAATCGTAAGACAAAGGGACTGAACCCACTTGTTTGTGGTTACTTTTTGTTTAAATTCTGGAGTATTTCCTTCCAGCCATATGTTCTACACACTGTAATACATACCTGAAATCCTATTTAATGTAAAATAACTGTATCCTCCTCACTGATAGCACTTTCTACATTATTAACAATTCTAAACATATTTTTTAATGTTGTAATAGCCCAACAAATTACTATAATCTAATGTTGGATAGTTCAACTTCTTGTTATTCAACTGTTTCTAACTGTTAAAGCTGTACGGATTCAGAACTGCTTCCTTATTTGATGAAGTAATTGAGGTAAAAAGAAATCTAAAAATCAGCACACTGAACCAGCTGTCCTGAAGTATAGTCATGTGACTAGCGGAGGATAAAAGAATAGACTAATTTTGTGGAAGTTGTGAGAAAAAAAAGGGTACAGGGTAAAAAGAACAGAATACCGCATCAGAGATGAAGAAACTAAAAATAAAAAGATCCCATGGTTATCACCTAAAAAGATTATCTCAAAAGTCCCTAGGGGTACAGAAAGAAAAGTAATTAGAATTTTTTAGTGGGATTGAGGGTAAGTGGAAGAAGGAATACTGGGAGATGGTCAAAAGGACAGAACATTCCAGTTAGATGGAAGTAGTAAGATCAAGAGATCATGGTGACACAGTAAACAAAAATGTGCTGTATACTTAAAGATCGCTAAGAAAGTAGATTTTAAGTGTTCTCACCATTTAAAAAGGTACATGAGGTAATGTTAGTTTGATTGAACCATTCCACAACTTACGCGTATTTTAAAACAACACGTTGTACACCATAAACATATACAATATTTGTTAATTTTTTTTTAATTTTAAAAAGTTTAAGATAACAAAATAGGAAATGTCAGTATAAGAACAATGCATGGTTCTTAACAGTTTACAAATTCCACTCATGCAAAACATGCAATTCAGTCCTCATATTACCTGTGACTAGATAAAGCAGCTATTATGATATCATTTTATTGCAAGGAATAGGCTAAGAGAGCTTAAAAGGGTGTTACCTAAGGTGACACAACAAGAAACTGAGAGTTTATCATCTCCTCCCATGACATAAAGCTGATTTCTGTTGGTGAACTATGGACGATCCACAGTTAAAATCAGTGTTAAAGTAAAAAGTAATAAACTGTGAGCTGATCATCACAGAGAAGAAATAAGGAAGCGGCAACATCCTGGAGAGCTGCTAACCCCTGCCCAGCTCATGCCACTGCCCACTTCTCCTCTATCTCAGGCTCCATCTTTTGTTCCAGAACTACTCTCTTCCCTCAGGAGGGATTCAGAGTTGGAAGATCAGCAAAATTCATCACTAGTCCAGACTTCAGACTCCTCTAGTGCAGTGTACTAAAAATAACTTGATTGTTCAGCAACACATGGCAAGTGAGCAAATGCTAAAAAATGAATATTCTATCAAAATTATATCTGATCTCTCGAGGGAAGACATTCTTATCTGTGTCTAAAATTCAAGTTGGAAGTTACCAAATAAAAGTGTGCTGTGTATGTGCTAAATTGTACAAAATTGTAGATATCCAACAATTTGTTATTATAAAAATTATATTCTGTATGATTCAAACTGGATTCAGATATAGAAAGAGAGAAACAAACAGTGGTATCCTTCAGTAGTAAGATTTTAATTTTGTTCTTATTTACCCATATTGTCCAACTTTTCCACAGTGAATATGTACTGCTTTTGTTTTATATTATATATATATATGTTTAAAAACAAAACAACTTGGCCAGATGTAGTAGCTCACGCCTGTAATCTTAGCACTTTGGGAGGCTGAGGTGGACAGATCACCTGAGGTTAGGAATTCAAAACCAGCCTGGCCGACATGGCAAAACCCCATCTCTACTAAAAATACAAAAATTAGCCAGGCATTGTAGTGGGTACCTCTAATCCCAGCTACTCTGGAGGCTGAGGCAGGGAGTATTGCTTGAACCCAGGAGGCAGAGGTTGCAGTGAGCTGAGATCATACTACTGCCTGGCTGACAGAGTAAGACTGTCTCGAAACAAAACAAAACAAAAACCTCAAATGGCTTGGAGTTCAGCCCACAGGGATTTAGATGGCATATGTCATCAGCATACTATGACTAACAATTTTCTCATGGAAAATTGGCCTCTCAGAGGCCAGCATATTCCTTTCTGACCACTAGAATCAGGTAAGTAATTATCAGAACCTAAGATGGCTGTGTCTCTACTATTAGTTAAGTGAAATGTATGGCACAGTGAGCTGCAGAACTGAAATGAGAAATATGTAGCCACAAAAAAAAATAAAAAATATGGGAGATAATGCATGTTAACTTGCTCAATTTAGCCATTTCACAATGTATACACATTTCAAAACAACAGGTTGTACATGATAAATATAAACAATGTTTATTTGCCAATTAAAATAATTTTAAAATTTGTTTTAAAAAGAAGTAAATACCTAAAGTTAATACTAATCATAGCAGTATAATATAAATTTCAGATCTCTACGCTTAGCCTTGTTTCACAGATGTACCACTTCTGAATGGTAGTACATTTGTAAACAAGGCAGTACAATAAATGGTGGCTGCCAGGGAATGGGGGAGAGAGTAATGGGCAGTCATTATCTGATGTTATTAAAATGGAGTTTCAGTGGGGTGATGAAAAAGTTCTGGTAGTAGTGATGCCTGTATAATAATGTGAATGTACATACTGCCACATGACTAACCGCATACTTAAAAATGGTTAAAGTGGTAAATTTCATGTTACATATATTTTATAATAGAAAGATGGATAAGCAGAGATCAGTTATTTTTAAAAATTAAAAGTTAATAAATAAAAAGAAAGTACATTTCTTGCTACCCCTCCGAGTCCTCTGAAATGGGCCACTTACTCAATGAACTGAATACAGGAATAAGCATAAGCAGAAGGACATGAGCTACATCCATACCCAAACCATTGAGCAGATGCCGCAGAAGGGCCAGCCAGTCTAATTTGTCAGAGTTTATCAGAAGATGTTGCAAGGACTAAGAGCAGCAACTGAGGACAAAGCTTTTAAAGCTGGAATGAAGTACAGATTGACACAGGACAGTCACGTCTCATTTCCATTTTAATTGAAAAACTCTTAAGTAGCCGGAACTTGCTTCTTGGTTGTCAGGTTTTGCAATGTTTACTACGCCATAAATCACTAAGAAGCTATTTGACAAGTAAAGAGACAAAAATGGAATCTGGCTTCTAAATTGACTTTCCTTGAGCAAGAAGAAGAAAAGCAGAAAAAAACACAGGTGAAGAGTCCTTTTAAACACATGTTATCAGGGAAGCAAAGTGGTGAGGAAACTTCAAACAAATGAGAAACAGTGAATAATTATCTGGAATGTTAATGATTTTTTTTTTTTTTTTTTGAGACAGAGTTTTGCTCTGTCACCCAGGCTGGAGTAAAGTGGCACAATCTTGGCTCACTGCAACCTCCGCCTCCCAGGTTCAAGTGATTCTCCTTCCTCAGCCTCCCTTGTAGCTCGGATATTAGGAACCCAGCTGATTTTTTATTGATTGATTGATTGATTGATTGATTGTATTTTTAGTAGAAATGGGGTTTCACCATATTGGTCAGGGTGGTCTAGAATTCCTGACCTCAGGTGATCCACCCGCCTCGGCCTACCAAAGTGCTGGATTACAGGCATGAGCCACTGCGCCTGGCTACTGTTACTGATTTCTTATCCCAACAAAGTTAACTCCAATACCCTACTAAGAGTGGGGAAAGGGTGCAGAGGAGTGTTACAGAACATCCAGCACCAAATCGATGATTTGTGTTTAGGTACAAACAAAACTCACCAAGCACAGACTGCAACTCATAAGAAGGTAACATGTAACCAGGTTTCTAGGTGGGAAAAAAGTGGGTGGTCAGGAAAGGGGCTTAATCCTAAGCAAGGGTGGAAGATTCATAAGCAGATCATTGGACTGCTCATCTTCTGCGCCCTGAGAAGTGGCCTCTTCTTCCCCATGTTGATCTGGCTCTGAGTCACTTCCAGAAAGCTCAAAGCATACGATCCCCACCCTACCGCAGCTCCGATACCAGAAGTTCACCTCCAAGAGGAGAGAGATGCTGTACTACTTGTGCAGATACCCCCAGAGCCTGCTGCAGTGCCTGGCACATAACAAGCACTCAAATGGTCACCACCTAAGTGCTGTTCCAATTTCACCTAATCTTTATTGAAAGGGATGGCACAAAACGGAAAGCAAAAAATTCCTGCTCAGGGAACTCCAGGTGACATAATTATGTTCTAGGGAAGAAACTGGTACCAAAGGTTTAAGCCATGCTGAGATAGCTGTGGATCCTTACAATGACTAACTCTGAGGTGTTTTTACATAAACTATAAATTCAAATTAATCAATGTTAAGGAGTATTAATTACACAAGAGTCCTGTTATAACTTGACCAATCAGAAGACAGTACTGCTTTACATTTAAACAGATTTTAAAAATAAGAACCAAACAAGGGCATGGCATAGTGGCTGGTGCCTATAATCCCAGCACTTTAAGAGGCCAAGGTGGGAGGATCACAAGGTCAAGAGATCAAGGCCATCCTGGCCAATATGGTAAAACCCCAGCTTTACTAAAAATACAAAAATTAGCTGGGTGTGGTGGTGCACACCTATAGTCCCAGATACTCAGGAGGCTGAGGCAGGAGAATCACTTGAACCTGGGAGGCAGAGGTTGCAGTGAGCTGAGACTGTGCCATTGCACTCCAGCACAGCGACAGAGTGAGATTCTGTCTCAAAAAAAAAGAACCACACCAAAAGGCAATAAATTAGTCCTATCTGTCAGCAATGAGTTTGAGGCTAGTGACACAGCACAAAACCTTTACAGAGGAGACAGCATACTTACTCTCTGGCTGGAAGACAAACTCATATCCCCAGACTACCAGCAGGGTCCACACGACACTCCATGCGATTAGCTGCCAGGGCTCATACTTGGTGCAATGCCCATTTACAAAATTCTTGGCTTTTGTGGAGTATACTTCCAAAATCTCTAAGTAGGGTTCAAAGGCCTTCTAGAAATACAAGAGAAAAATAGAAACATTACATTTTGAGAGAGAAAAGAAGTTTGTTCTTAGTTTGTACTTCAACTCTCATTTTTCAAGGGCAAGGTCATTCCTGATCTTGGCCTTCTTCAGCAATAATCTTATCATCATCTACAGCCCTCAAGACTTCTGTACCAGTCACTCCAGCGGCACTCCACTCCCAGTTAAGAGCTAGTGGACTTTGAGAATATTTTTGATCTTGTGCCTATTTTGTACAATAAGAGGGTTAAGCTAGATCGTCACTTTAGCCCTAAAGTTTCTGTGTGACTGTCAGTATCACTGTCCCACTCTCTTAACTCAAACTAATACCCCAGTATGAATGTCATTTCTCTTCCCTATTTGAATCTTTCCTATTCTCTACCCCATTAGTCAGCAAACTGGTTCTGGAATGAGCCTGATACTAAATTATTTTATACTTTAACTGTTGTGAACCAAAGGTTCTCCTTTACAACTACTCATCTCTGCTGCTGGAGTGCAAAAATAGTCACATTTAGTGCATAAACAAATGAACATGGCTGTGTTCCAACACAATGTAATTATGGACACAAAAATTTGAATTTCATGTAATTTTCATGTTCACAAAATATTCTTTTAACAATTTTTAAAATGGAAAAATCATTCTTAGCACATGGACCATATAAAACCAGGCATATAGCCAGATCTGGCCCATAGGCCGTAATTTACTAATGCCTGCTCTAAGGCCTTAATTCACTATAAATCTCTTAATCAACAACCATATCTTATCAGCATGTACATTCCTCACAACATCTGGTACAAGAAAGAAAAAAAATCCAGTTCTCTGTAAACTTATCAGAGTATCTCATTTAGGAGAACTTCTCTCTCCTTTTAAATTCTCCTCCAGCACTCATCCCTGACAAGTCCTATGCAGAGCTTATCACAACCTGCCTTGCAGCCTACTCATCTGTTTCTTATCTCCCTGACTATATGGTTAGGTCCCTGAAGAAAGACCAGTTCTATTAATATCTACAATCCCCTACAGTGCCCTGTACAAACTAAGGTCATTTTATAGTTCGTTATTCATTCACTTAATCAGTATTGATTAAGCATTTCCAGGGCTGAAGGCAGTAAGCTAGGTGTTCAGGTACATATCATAGCTCCAAGTCTATAGTGAGTTTACAGTCTAATCCAAGAGGTAGACATGTGTCTATACACACACAAAGGCACACACATATAAAAACAAATCACGAAAACTCCTCAGGAGAATAGCCACAAAAGGCATATGAGTGCCAAGACGGAGCACTGGGGAGGGCCCATCTAACTAAGAAGGGATAAAGATAATGACAGAGGGTAAAATTTAAGCCAGTTAAAAGGGTAAAAGAAAATTCTCTAGGTAGAAAAGTTAAAAGGAAAAAGATCACACCTGGAAGAGAGGATTGTAGCTGCAAGCGCATAGAGTCTGCGTATGGCAAAAGTTCTATGTGGTAAAGTGTAAGCTACACGATGGCAGGGACCATCTCTGTGTCATCCTGTGCTAAATCCCCAACATGTGGCAGAGTGCCCAGCACACAGTTTATACTGAATACAAACTTGGACAGTGGCTGACAGTGCCCAAGTAAGTGACTGAACACTGAAATCAGAGCCCTGAGGCTGGGAGAAGTATACCAGGTCCATACACGGTTTGGATGCCTATCCTCCAAATCTCATGTTGAAGTATGAGTCCCAATACTAGAGATGAGGTCTGGAGGGAGGTGACTGGATCATGGGGGGCATCTTCCACGAATGGTTTGGCACCATCTCCTTGGTGATAAATGAGTTCTTCCTCAGTTAGTTCATGTAGATCTGGTTGTTTAAAAGTCTGGAACCTCTCCCCTCTTTCTTGCTCTCACTCTTGCCATGTGACATGCCTGCTCTAAGCTTCACCTTCCACCATGATTGCAAGCTTCCTGAGGCCTCACCACTAGCAGATATTGAAGCCATGTCTGTACAAATATGCAGAACCATGAGCTAATTAAACTTCTTTTCTTTATAAATTACCCAGTTTCAGGTATTTCTTAACAGAAATGCAAGAATGGGCTAATGTAGTCCATATTTTAAAAAGACTTAGAAAAACTGATAGGAACTTTTGTAAAGCAAAGTGTTGGTATCTATTAACATTTTAAACGTATATTCATTTTGACCTAGCAATCCCACTTTTTGACATCTACATATTTGCACATGCATACAAGTAAACATGTTCAAGGATATTCATTTCGGTATTCTCTGTAACAAAAGGAAAAAAATAATCCAAATGTCTATCCAGAGAAGAATGGTTAAATAAACTATAATACACATATTTTATGTACCCATACTAGGAAACATTAAAAAGACAGATCTACATGAACTACATGAAAATATTTCCAGAACACAGTATCAAGTAGAAATAAGTAAATTACAAACAAGAGCAATAAAACAAAACAAAAGGCATGGATTTTTAAGTATATGAGTCATTTTACCGGGTGTGAGTATAGAGATTATTCAAATTTTTCAAGTTCAAGTTCGAGAGACGGGTTAACTATGATGTTAATAGTTAATATCATTATTAACTATGGTTAAGACTAGAAGAGGAAGGGAAGGTAAAGAAGGTAGAAGATGTTTTGAGCAAAAGATAATGATACTGACTAACATTCCTATTGGACATCCACGTACAATGTTCTAGTAGAAACACGAAAGCTTAGAAAAAGGACAAATACTCAACAAATGTTTGTTGAAAACATTTATACCTGCAGTGGACTGAAAGTTTATGCCCTTCCCCAAAATTCGTATGTTAAAACCTAACCCCCAAGCTGATGGTAGGAGGAAGAGGGAGTCTTGGAAGAGGGAGTCATTAGATCACGAAGGCAGAAGCCTCGTGAATAAGATTAGTGACTTTATAAAAGAGATCTCCAGAGAGCTATTTGGCCCTTCTATCATGTGAAGACACAGTGAGAAGACATTTTCTATGAACCACTTTTATGAAGGCCACCTTCCAGGAAGCAGGCCTCATCAGGTACCATATTTGCTGTTGCCTTGATCTTGGGCTTCTTGGCCTCCAAAACTGAGAGAAATGGTTTTCTGTTGTTTATATGCCACCACGTTTATGGCGTTTTGTTACAGCAGCCTGAATGGACTCAGACAATACTCTTAGTAATCAGACTGTGGTATAAGGTAATTAACATTAGGCAACTATTAAGCTCCCTGGAGGGCTATCCATGGAGACAGTTTATCTGCAATTCCCCAAATAGTTCTTGGTGGTTATTCCCCAGAGCCCACGGTTACATCAACAACCTCTATCCAAAACAATGGCAATACCAGCCAAATCCTGGGAAAGATCAGAGGAGTCTATCATCAAAGGTATATCATGATGTCTATCATTACATAGACTTGTCTAGTATGAAAGCTGTGGTCAAACCAGATGGTTAAATACTGTGCATGAATGAGATGATGAAAGAACAATCATTCAGATTAGCTTTTCTTCTGGTGATACTAATTCCTAATTCACCCAGAAAATAGAGGTTACCACTGTCAAAAAAAGACTACAAATATTATCAACGATTCACAGCACTGAACAAAAAAGTGATATAACTAGTTTTAGGGAGACAGCAAAGAACCAGCAAATGCAAACTATTATTAAAAGCCTTAAAATTAAGATACAAAGACATTCCTCACTAACATTTAAAAATAGAAAGACATTCCTCATTAACATTTTAAAAATTATATTCAGCAAGAATATATATTTTTTGTATTTACTTGGATTCTTAAGAAGATAATGGCAATCCTTAAATTCAAAGGGAATCCTTTAAAAGGAGATGTATCTAAATTCTTTAACACCAAAGACAGAGTGACACTGCAATTGGATGGATCCTGATAAGCTTTTGAGGAGGCAACTAGTTGATCACAGAAATTACACCTACTGGCATCATTCTAAGGTCCTTCTAGGTTACTAGAACAACCTAGGCTCAGTCCCCAATGAAAATGCAACTCACAACACCAACAGCTCACTGCATTATTGGGCGCTATGGGGTAACGTATCCTATCTCCTTGGAATAAAAGATGATGCAGTCCCTTAGGGCCTTGAAAACAGCACAAACCCCAGGCTGTGTCCTGATGCAATACTGCAGCCCCTGGGAAGCACAGAATCTAAGAGCTGAAGGGAATCTGGGAGATCAAGTCTAACATTTTCACTTTACAAGCAGAGACCCCAAATTGAAATGGCATGCCTACGCTCTTACAGACATGCTTGTGATTAAGTGGAGTCTAGGAACACATGGCTCTTGACTCAGTATTCAGTACTTTTTCAATTCTTGATTTTCAATATTCACGGGCAGAGGATTAACACATTACAATCCAGCAGCATCCCAAGAGTTTCCTTTTTACAATTTATGTTCTTGGCAGGATCCACCTTGAATATTTGGTACCATGTACAACATACTAAAATTATATAGTTAGGTCATGACTATAGATAAACCTCTAGATCAAGCTTGTCTGACATGCAGTCCAGGACAGCTAAGAATGCAGAACAAATTTGTAAACTTTCTTAAAACATTCTGAAATGTTTTTGCAATTATTATTATTTTTTTAAGCTATCATTAGTGTTAGTGTATTTCCTGTGTGGCCAAAGACAATTATTCTTCTTCCAATGTGGCCCAGGACAGCCAAAAGATTGGACACTCCTGATCTAGAGAGAGGTGGCACAAAAGTTAATGTGATTATAATTACTATTGCCACTATGTCTTTTTACTTATAGCAGTACTTTTTTTGCCTATGTATCTCTGCATATATATAGTTATAATTCTTAGGCTTCTGTTTATTTCAACTTTATCAATGTATTCTGTCTCTAGAAATACAAGAACTATGAATGATCATCCATGAAGACCACTAGCTTACTGTGCAACTCCAGGTTAATTATTTCTCCAACCTTCATGTCTTTATCTAGAAGAAGAAACACAAGAATAATACAGTCATAAAATAAGCTGTATCTGGATATGTGTGTG